CCCGAATCTCATTCCCATCGCCCGAACCACGAGCTACCCTCAGAGAACCTATTTACAAAAATTATAATATACTCTTGCACCGTAACATTCTAACCATGATCTTTCCGTTTGCTTTCAGGTGAGTCCAAAAAACATTATCTCAACGAAACGGAAGCGGCCAAACATTACGTGGGTCTGTAAGTAATTCGAAAGCGAGGAAGGGCGTTGCATTCGTTCGCGGAAAATAATTTTATCATCTCGTTGGGGGCCTATCAGGCGGATCCGCACGAATAAGAGCCGATGAATCTCATTTCCTTTTCGTCTGACATGCAATTCCGTGGGCTGAATAGTTCACGTCGCGATTAATATCGTTGTACCAAGCGGCGGGGTTGGCCATCTAGATGCTGAACTATGCGCCGCGGTTCAAAGCGACTGGATTAACACGACGACTTTCGAGCGTGGTTTCTACTATTAAGGTAATTCGCCATGAGCCGCGCGGACGCGTTTCGATTTTCACGGTGATTTCGCGCTGGGAAAATCGCCAGTTCCAGAGACCGACATCCGTGCATCCCGTACGTTCGTTGATTTAACGTTATCAGACCAGCCGATGAAAGCCACCCCCTTGTCGACGGATCGAACATTTCGGACTGATATTTTGTAACAACATTTTCGGGGAGGACTGATAGACAGTTTGTTTTTTTTTTCTTCTAATTAACAGGGTGTGCATCGTCGTTACATATTCGTAAATTTATGGACTGATTTATAATAACGGACATTAAACTCCTTCCTGCAGTTTACTGGGGGTTTTATTTGTTGTAAAAATCATTCATTTCTTTTACCCAGTTATCTGGGAAATGTTTGTAATTTTGAATTGGATTGATCACTTTTATTACTTTTATTTGGAGCGCTACCCTGAAAAATTGGATTAATTTTGTTTAGCGCGCTGTACTGATAGACAACTCGAAAAATATGTAGTCGAATGACTGAAATTCGCGTGTATTATATTAGTACCGCGAAAAAAGGTGAGATGACATTTTTTTTATTTTCAGTAAAAGTCAACAAACGAATGAGAATATTTTTGGTACAAAATGTGGCGCAGAAGGGATGACAGATTGAAACACGTGTAAATTATTGGGTATACGGGATTCGTTAATCATATTAGGAAGTGATTATTTGTAAAAATCTCGTGTGTGATTCATGGGCAATTTTCGACGTTAGAAACGGAAACTGGAGATGTATGCCCGTTTTGAGGAGAGGTGGGACTCCGCCCCTATGCCTATTCCGGACCACTAACAATTTGGGCCCCATTAATTTAAAAGGAAGAAAAGGAACCCAACCAGGAAATACCAGTTTGGTTCGCATTCCCGTGGCCCCAATAATTCAGACTTCATTCACGAGCTGGTTCCGTAATAAGAGAAAAGAAAAAGATCGAGCGATCCCAATCCCCTTGGCTTTCTACGAATCTTCGGTGATTCTAACTCGGGATCGTAATCGGTTTTCGAAAATGGAGAAAAGGTCGAGATTATATATCTATTGAAACCCGAAATCATCGGTTTCCGTGCTCTCTCTCTCTCTCTCTCTCTTTCTCCGACCCCCCGCAATTTAGACTTCATTGATCAGCTATTGCCCAAGAAGAAAAGGGGGCTCGAGCCTCGTTTATCGTAATCAGAGATATTGGATTTTAACGCTGAAAGGAAATTTAAGAAGATTATAACGACAGGAAAAAAATGTTTCTTGACATTTCGTCGACTTTTTAATTTGAATCGATATCGATTTCACACAGATGATAGCTTCATTTTATAGAGCATGAATTCACGAATTGACATTCTATACGTTCTGACATTGAGATTCTACGTGTATTAATAGAATAAAAACTCCTTTAAAATCGATCAAACTCTTACGTATACTGAATTCTAGAGAATCAAAAATTTTTTTAAAATCGCTCGAACTCCAACGTATACCGAATTTTACCGAAACGTACGTGCTATAAATGCATAAACATCCGTGGTACGGTAATCACCTCCCAGTTCAATTTCAATAGAAATACACGCATACTCTCTCGAGCCAATAAAATCGGCACACCGAGGGCCCTTTTTCCAAGTCAAAATCCATCCATCCCCCCTCGGATTCCGCCCACCCTCTCGATCATTATTCAGCGGCGCGCGTCGCGTCGGTGCACGGCCTCTCGTCCCGTTTTACGACATCGGCTCGGTTTCATTAGCCCGGTCCGGGGCCATCGGCACGTTCGTTCGTCCGACGGACGGTTTGTTGTCCAGTCCACGTGGCGTGTACCGGCGTTATTTCGTTCACGTACGCCGGCACGCAGTAACGTATATACGCGACGCCTGCGTGAAAATCACGGGGGCGGACCAGGAGGGAGCAGGAAGGACGCACGCAATGAGTCCCGCGACCAGACCGTGAGAGCGAGTAAGACAGAGTGAATGAGCGAGCTAGCGAGTGAGAGAGAGAGAACGGACGCGGCGCTGGTAGCTGCTGCCAGCACGATAATGAGCTAATGAGCGGTGTCTGGCGCTCCGCGGCGCCGCAATTTTCAGCCTGCAAGGACGTCGGATCGTTTCCAAGCGTTTACACCGCGACGTCTTTTGCTCGTTTGTCGTCGATACCGTCGACGTTTTACATAGTGATTGGTTATACTTAGGCGAAGTTACGCAGAAGTCTTCCTGCTCCCTATAAACGCGTTGTCGGACCTAAAGGGTGAGGTTTATAGAAAGGGACCATTATATCGTCATGTACAATTACTTTTTATCGTTTGGAACTCTGAAAGTGAATTGTAAATTTCATGAGTCGATGTTGGCTCAAGAATTCCCTGCTGCTCTCTATAAACGCGTTGTCAAACCTGAAAGGTGAGACGTATAGAAAGGGATCACTACATCATTATTTACATTTATTTCCTGTCGTTACAAATTCGATCCATCGATAAATCTTAACTTTCCCCCAGTCAACGTTCACGAATTTCCTGCGACCAGATCGGTACACGAAACTGGATTGGTCAAGAGTGTAGTTCTTCCTGCTCCGGAGGCGTGTAACGCGTGGCGTACCAAACAAGCAGTATATACCTGTATACCCGTTTCTCAAGGGGGTAAAAAGTCTTGTTCGCAGGTCACGAGAACCGTTTCTCCCCCCCCCTTCTTCGTGAGCACATCGGGGCAGGCAAGAAGCCCGCGAGGCCGAGTTGCGTGAGAACAAGCCGGGTACGGGACGAGGAAAGAAGTTTTATGGCTCCCCGGGGTCTACCGATTGGCATCGCTAGAAAAACCCACCCCCTTTCGTCCCTCGCGAGCGCGCGCGTACGTCGTTCGCCCTCCTCAGCCACTTAAATTGCAGGAGGCCGCCGCCGATGCCGGAAACGGGCCGGTTCATGTTCGCACTTCGTGCTCGCGATCCGACGCTACCGTATCATTGGGAATCTCTTGAAAGTGGATGAACGAGTTCCTTGCAAAACGGCGCACCGATCGAAACGCGCCTCCGCCTCGAGATTAAAGCTTCGCTCGAGAAGTTCACCGAGAGAACCTGCCCGGTTCGATTTAAATCGAAGGTTGCCTTGGATAGTTTGTTACTTTGTTCGGCTGGTTCTAATCCTCTTTAAGTCTTCGATTTTTTTTTCCGCCCGAGGAAAGTGTAATTTTGTTTAAGGGATTATGGCGGATACTTTCGAGATTACTTGTCGATGGACTGACGTTGCTCCGTGTAAATTCACGCTTTTATGGAATGATTTATGGAAGAAGGAATTGAATGGAAATTCAGTTAGTAGATTCGTAGGTTGTGGAAATCGAAATTTTATTACTGGAATAGAAATTTTTTACATTTATAGTCGTCTAGAGTCTATAGAATGTAATGGAGTAATAGAGTTTCTTAAAGTTTAAGATTTCCGGTCTGTAAGTGCGAATTAGTTCAGAAGTATGGATTTGCGTAAAAATTCGCAGTGTGAGGGTCTAATACCAGTTCAACTATGCAAAATTCCAGTTACACAATATACTCCACCATGTTATTTAGTACGATATATCTTCCCAATTACAACGACTCCGAACACGTTCTCCAAATGTCGTCCCACAGTACCGAAATAAATGTTAAATCGAGTGTTAATTTGGTAAAAATTTCAGTAACTCCAAATACCAAGTAATAAGAAGGTCCTTCTCCTGCATTGCTTTTTCCTCTAACGGAATTCGAGTTTGCTTGTCGGTGTACATACGCACATGGCGTAGGGTAAGGACCTCCTACCATACTCCTATCCATTAGTATTTGGAATTACTAAAATTTATGCCAAATTAATATTCGACATAACATTTATTTCAATACCTAGGATAAATTTACCAACTAGTAGAAAAGTTTTCTTCTACGCCTTTTTTTCCCCTAGTGGAAGGGAAGTTTTCTCGCAAGGGTACATTATTGCCCCAGTTTCGCTAGCAAGGAATGTAGAATTGAAATGATACAGGGACTTCTGACGTCCCTAAAACATGGGACAGAAAATTATATTGCATGTTAGGTCTATTCTTATATCTCGTCTGTGCCCAGGGCCATCGATCAGGCTGACCCACTTGTTCATCCCCAGACCAGGAACCTGTGGACCTGCTGCTGCTGCTGCTTTTCACCTCTTGGTCGCTGGTACCCCTGTGCTCACGTGACGAGCCGCCGCCGGTGGACTCGTGGGTGGCCCCGCTCCGCAGTTCGCGGCACGCCGCTCGTAATTATAGGTTCCTTATTTACCGCCTGTTACACACTTCGTTAGCACATCACTTATAAAGTGGTCGTGTACCACTTAGTAGGGTAGAGCCGGCCGCGTCGTCGCTCTTTCTCACTTTTCGCCTTCACTCCTGAGCTCGTTCCGAGAGCAGCTCGGACATAAGCTGAGGTGGGATCGCGAACGGTTACCCTGAACAGGGGGGGAAACGAGGTCTTGAATGGAAATTTCCGTGGGCTCCTCGAATCACGTTCGATCTCTGCGGTCTAACTTTGGTACAGAGCTAGACTGTAGCTGCTCGACTCTAGCAGTTGATTCAAGGATGTTTGCGTTAGGGTATCGAAGTTTTGGGTGCTTCTATGGAAAGGTTCATATGTTGGAGAAGTTGATATGGTTTAGAATGTACTGGTTGGTAATTAATTGTGGAGGATCGATGTTTCTGATAAATTTTGAAGGTATAGAATAATCTATTTCTTAACTTTTGAGTCTTGAAAAGCGGATGGGTTTGGATGATTGAATGGACGAGTGGGTTTGGGTTCAGGCAGACCTCTGTTCATCTATCTTGAGATGTGATTTGGGATGAATATTTTTTAAAATATACTTCTCATGAAATGTTTATAATAAACGAGTGTGCGTTTTAATTAGTTTCTGTGAGCATCTGAACGGCTAAGTCAAATTGAATCCAGGCAACGCCATCCGAGGAGGCATTCAAAGTCCTCTTTTGGAATCGTGTAAACCCAGTAGCGTTTCGTCTTCGTTGCCTGAAATGTCTTCTTAAAAATCCAAGATCTCTACAGCTCTTAGCCCATGTATACCCTAAGATAAACACCCTGGTGGGCCAGACAGGTCCCCAAATCCATAATAAACCCGAGCACTATCGGGATTTCGACTGAATCATAAGGATGATTAAGCAAGAACCAGAAACCCACAAGATAGCGGAACTGTACCCACGCAACGGGTCTTAAACTCGGGCTCAAAACTTCGAAAATTGTAACCTTCGATTGTTCCTCGAATCGAACGGAGGGCGCAATGAGTATCGAGTGTCCCATGGTCGACCAAACGCGATCACGTTGATTGGAGAGCGGTCGAGCTTCCTGGTTATCGGAGTAACGACACGATCGCCCGCGGAATGCGATCGAATGACGTTTTTAGAAAGCTGATTTGAATAGAACCGTGTTCGTCTTCGGTGTCCCGCGTCGTTGGGGATTTGGTTACCGTTCGCGGTGGCCCCTCTGAGGTTCGGCCGGTTCCTATGCGTCATCCGAAGGCGTTATTCCGTCCAGGCAATGCTCGATGGCACTTAATTTCGGCGTTATTTGTATTCTGCTCTCGTGAAACGCATTTGACGGATCCTAGCCGGGAATACTCGTTCGATTCCGACGCGGACTTGGCTAATTCGGTCGTCTAGACGTCGCCTGGCGCCATCGAAATGCTTGATTCGCCGGCAAGTTTTTTCGAAATACTTCATTTCTATCGCTGGTTTCTGTTAATAACCTTATTAATATCAGTAAGAATGTAATGCCTGTTTTTGTTTTAGGAAACCGAAATGTCTCTGGTATTTCTTTTTTAGAAGGAAGATCGTTTATTTGTATTAGGTGTATCAATAAACAATCCACTACTTATTTATTAGAAAATTCTATGTTTCTCGGAAAGAACTCAAATGTTTGTGCTGTTTAACAATATTTGGTATTTGCCTGCAACATCCTACGTCATTTTGACTGAACAAAAATTCGGTATGGTTTTCTGAATTTAAATTGTACTACTACCCTTACTGTAGCCATCGTGAATTACTTATGGATACACCTATTAAATTTAATATTTATATTCCATGTATTTTACTTTCACTTATTGCTCTCAGTTTATTAATTATTGACAGAGCCTAAAGCCTAAGGTGTAGTTACCCCCTTAAGTAGATCACATCGGATTTATCCACTTTGGCATATACTTTTCTATAAAATTTGACATAAAAAAACTGACCGTCATATCAATTCATTTTATCAATGTTATAAGAAAAAAAACACTTATTTTAATTAAGTTCAAATCCTCGTGTTCATCTTTTTACAATCAGATACTCCACACTCTGAAAATTCTTTCCTCGCTTAAGGGGTTAAGAATTTCTATGGTCGACGAATTAAGTCTTGTTTTTATAAAATTTCTGTACCCTTTTGTCACTTCCTCCGAGTGACACGGGACTTTTCTTAGGCTTCATTTGTCCTTAGAGTTCCCGTTTACAAGTAAAAAATTCATCGTTCTCTCATTAATTTTCCATGGGAACCTTTCGCCAGTTTCTCCGAAGCAGATATCCTTCGTCCACGTAAGTGAACTCGATTCGATGCACGGGTGAATGTATTATATACACGCGGTTCGATCGACGGAGCGTTCTCTGCACCACCGTCGTCGCCGTGGATTTTATGAATGGATCGCGTGCGTGCCAACTGGCCTATTAGTGGCGAGGCCCTGCCAACGGTAGCCAGGCCGTGTTCGAACACGAGAACGTTTCTCAATTACTCCGCAAAGCCTCGCGGTGTACACCTACCGTCGTGATTATTACCGAACCGTGACGTGCCGGCTCGCCACCAAGGCTTCACGAAGGTCTCGGCCAAGGTACACCGCCATCACGATCCGCTTTACGCTTCTGCCGGGGCAGATTTTAACATCTACGCTCGGCTAGAAACACCCGAGATACCATCGAGCACCGACTCATCGCTTCGTTAATTCTTTGTAGTGTAACTTTATCGATTTATCTTGATACATTATGTTTACCCCGGTTGGTGGTCGGACTGTGTGACGTGTTTTAAGTAATCTCACAGATTTAGGGGTTTATGATTGTTGCCACGTGAGTTTTTCGAAGGACCTAATACCATGTGTGATAATGTATTCATAATGTATTTCTTGTAGGGTCTAGTAACTGTGAAGGGGGTCGTATTAAAAAATTTGGGTAAATATTTATAATGATGGAGTCACCTCTGATTTCGATGTATTTTTAGTATGTTGTACTAAGTAGTATTGTGAAGGTTTTAGTTGGGACTCGTTGTTTATCGAAAAGTAATTAAGAAAAACATTTCTTCGAAACAGTTTATGTAGTTTTGTTTATTTATTTAATTACATTTTCTGTTATTGGGTTTATGTCTGCCATTATTTTGAAAAAAGCAATCTTTCATCAAAATCAAAACAATTATCTCTAAACAACTGTGAATTACTATTTTCCTTGGACTGTCTCTAACCAACTCCTATTAGTATAATCCTTCAGAGTTTGTTAGACACAGTTCAAGAAAAAAAAAAAGTCATTGAGGGTTGGTTAGAGACAGTTTAACTCTTTAGTGTTAGGTGGGTTAAAAACTGTGGGATATATTTTAACCCACCTCGAAAAATTGAAGTTACTCATAGTCATACAGTCAAATATTTTATTTTTACATTAAAAAAAATTCTCTGCAACTAGGGTTTTTATTTTCTTTAAAATCGTGTGCCTCAAAAGTTAAGAAAAAAAAAAAAGTCATTGATTGGAGTCAGTTCAAGAGGAAGGTATTGTTCTCTTAATAATTTTTCAATAAACAACACATAAAATGATAGTATGATGTTACAATCGTAAGCTGGCAATAATTGGGACATCTACCCTACTGGTTATACCTATACTGTGGTCCAGGTATCAATCCCAAGCTTCCCTTCATTCATTCCCAGCGTCGAAACTCCATTCGTGGCCACCGACGATTCCTTGATTGCAGCCGGAAGTTCCGACGGCGGAAACACGGTCCAACACAAGCGTACATCTCGTGCACGCACGCTCGCCACTTCTCGCGTCGTCGTTCGGGATAAAAACAGCAGCGTAGCGGTGCACCGAAACGGCGAAGCGACGACACTTCATCTTCGCCGGCCGTGTAAAAGCAGATCCAGGCCTCGGAGGTCTTTTCAGTCTTCGACAGAAATCGCCTCTATCTCTCGGTTATGTAGGGTCGACTCGATTCGGGTTTCTTTCCGCATCCGTTCTCGGCCTTCCTCCGGAGGGGGGAGCTTTTCTTCCGAGGTCCTCGCGAGCTTCCGTCTAGCGATAATGAGGTTTCGAAAAAGGGCCGAGAAGAGGAGAAAAGAGCGCTGGGGAACAAACGGAAGAGGAGAGGGTACACCGAGTTCGCGAACGCGCTGTATTAGACCGATGCATGGTCGGAGAGCATCGTCGTCGACGTCGTCGTCGGACGTCCTTCTCCCTCGTCTACCATCCTCCCATTTTTCCTTTTTTTTTTTTTTTTTTTTTTTTTTTTTTTTTTCGTCGGGAAGGATGATCACCGGCGGTGTGTGTACGTGTCGTTGGATTGTTAGTCCGCGGGCATTCAGGCGAAACTTTCTTGGGGGGATAATTGCGATTGTAATTAAAATTCTCGGGGTGAAAAGGAGAGGTAGAGGAAAGAGGGGGAGAAAGAGAGAGAGAGAGAGCTGTTGGTGGCCACGTAGAAATGAGCAAGAGAGGAAGAAAGAGCCGAGGGACAGAGACGCTGCTGCTGCTCTCCTGGCCTGGCTTTTGGGGGGATGAGAGTAGAGAGAAAGAGAGAGAAAGAAAGCAACCTGGTTCGAGCCTCGACAAGCCGGAGTGCCATAATTGGAACGGTCGCGTGCGCCTGCCGCAGGACAATGGACTCGTCCGAGTGCAAATTATTAACGCGCCCCACTCTTTCACGCGCTGTCTCTCTCTTTTTCTCGTTCTTTCTCTCTGTCGTCGTTTCTGGTCCCTTCTGCGGGAGCCCTGGTTCCTTCTGCCGCCCTCTACCACTACTTCCTGCCATCGAGTCGCCTCCAGAAAATATCATTCTTCGCGCCTGGAATATTATGTACCATTCGACCGTCTCGTGGCCCCCTCCCAACGATGGAAAATATCCGATGGGTCGCGGAGAATTATTTCAGGGTGCATTCGAGAAGGGAGGATACGTAGCGCGCTACTTGAGGATCGAGTGGGGTGTTGACATGCTCATTTGCAGCCTATATGGGTGATTCATGCCCTCTCGGAATACGTAATGGGGATGCTAAGGTGATTATTATATGGGGTGGTGTTGGAGATCTGTTTTTATGCGGTGAAACGGTTCTTTTATTCTGCGATAGGATCTGTTTAGGTGGAAAATAATAATGGCTTCATTGCTTCGTGTGTATAGACGCGAATGAAATGTGGCCCGTGGGGATATTGTAATTACATTCTTTCTCTCGTGTAGCTACGATTTCATAGAATTGTTAGCACAAACGGGGAAATTAACTTTGTTGCCTTATTAAGAATTTTATTGGACTAACAGATCAAGAGAAATGTAGTCTATTGAACGTACCTGTAAAGTATGATAATTTATTCCACTTATTCGAACGGTTTATTATGCTGCGATTAATATAACATTTTTGTCAGTACTTTTTTATGGATGCTTCTCATTATATGTATTGTTGTTTATTTGCAAATGCTCTAAATGCGTAGAAACGACAGTGTAATAATGGTAATGATCTTTAAAAAAATGTTCAACTACAAAACTTCAGAAGAGAACCTAGGGGAATGGACTTATGTTTCTGCTACAGTATTTGGAATTATCCTATAGTATACTGTTCCTTACGATTTTACAGGGTTATTCAAATGATTCTCCTTAAATAGGTTTTTAATTTCTGTGCTTCTCATGCTCTACAATCTTCTAATTTGTTTAATTGTGCAAAAACAAGATGCATCGAAAATTAATGATCAGGAAGAGAACGAGCAACGACGAATCGGCGCCTTCCCGAAGACCGGCGCCAGTAAACGTCGGGTTCTCACGCGTTTGCATTCAAAAAATTGAAAAAATCAGTTATTAATATCTATAGATTATTACCATTTCTACATACTTCCGTTCAATTCTAGCATTACTAAATTTATCTGCTAATGAATAGAACTTAAAAACCCTTTCAACCCTTAATTTGATCAACACGTTCACCGCGGAACCTATTTTGACTGACATTACGTTCATGCCGATTATATTATTTGACATTTTGTCGCTCTAGTTCTTAACTGTTCTATTCCCACTAGTTTCTAAACTGAGAAAATTGAGTTTAAACTTTACGAAATTTGATATTACAGAAGCAGAAAAGTAGTGAAATAATCAAACACACTGTATCATCATACACTGAATAGCTATTTTGTCTTATTACGAACATAAATGTCCAATTATTGGAGGTACAACCATTAAAAAAAAGTTTCAGTTTCGCATCTGAGACTTAGAAGAATATTTGTTACTTTGATAAATTTTCTTTATATATTTGTTTCCTATTTTCTAATGTGATGCACGTAGATTGATTAATTACATTTTTTTCTCAAAACGGAGTTAGAACAGTTAAGAACACGGGTATCAATTTCAATTTCTATTACACAAGGATCACGGGTGACCAACGTCAAGAACAATATCAAGAACAACAGCAAAAACCCTCGATCACCATTTCAACAATCCTAAAAAAACTTTCATTTCCCCAGCCAGTCGATGAAACCATAATTTCCCACGCACTCCTTCTAAGAGAGAAAAAAAAAATCGAATCCCCCAGCATCCATTATCCACCACAAAGAGCCATCTCCGTCAAGATGGCGCCAGCCGGGGGGCCCCTCTTCCCCTCTGTAGTTTTCCCATCGAGGCGTAACCCACGGAAACTCCGCGGAGGATGCGCCTAGCCGATCTAATTGTTTTCGCTCGATTTATTAGCATAATCCCGGGGTCTGGCGAAAAAGAACGATGACGAAGAAAAGAAGAAGACGAAGAAGAAGGCGGAGGAGGAAGGGGAGGCCGGGTAATTGGCGTCGGCGAGGAGGAGGGCGTCACGCGTGTGCCCGCGCCGCGTTTAATTCGAGCCGGTCTGGTTCCGCGGGGCGCAGAGGGGTCGTCGGGTAAGGGTGGGGTGGGGGTGGATGGAGGAAATTTCTGAACGGTTTCGCTCACGCACGGGTGTCTGACGGAGGCGCGCGTGTACCCTCCCCCTACCCCTCGTGCCGTATACACACAATACCCGCGAAAGTCGTAATTTTTTCATTATAACCCGCAGGCGGAACAAATACCCGCGCGCCGGCTCTCGCGGTAGCGGTTTCAAGCTGAAGCGTCCTCTTAGCGCGCTCTTCTCGTCCCATCAACTCTGGCAAGCACACGCTCTCTCTGTACAATTCTCTGTCTTCTTCATCTTTTCACCCCCCTCTCTCTCTCTCTCTCTCTCTCTCTCTCTCTCTCTCTCACTCTCTCTTCAATTCGCTTTTACTTTTCAATTCTCTTCCTCTGTCTCTTCCTGGTAACTTCTACCACCACGTAACTCTCTTTCTTTATCTTCGTACATCTATATATCGTTGGCCTCTCCCTTCATCCCCCGTCTCCTCATTCTTCCTTGAACGGCACCGCGAGAACAAGTACAATAACGGAGGAAGCCCAGAGGCCTCTGGCACGGCCCATTAAAAACTTGCAATTAGCATTTAAAATATAAACCTTCCGCGCGGACTGTGGATGAAGAGGAATGAGGAAAAGGGGGAGTGGGTGGCTAAGAGAGACAAAGTGAGATGTCTAATGAAAGGGGGAGGCCTTTTGGATTGGCTAAATGCCTTTCAGCTCGCGGCTGAGCACCCTGAGCCCCGCGGTTTAAATGGAACTCACCCCTGATTGGCCGCCGCCCACCACCACACCGGCAAAACCGACCCGGCACCATTAGCTACCAGCGTCGAAACGACGGCGCCTACTACGCCTAGACTCTCTATCTTCCTCTCTTTCTCTTTCCTCCCTCTAGCCCTCCCGTTAGTTTTGCTCCTTCGCATTCCTTCACCTTCGACGCCATTCACGTCGCTTCCGTTGAAGAGAGAACCGGCTTGGGAGGGTCGGTGGGAGCAGTCGGAATAGAAACAGAGATAGAAAAACGTTCGGATACGAAGCTCCACGCGGAAAGGGACGAAGCAGAGAGAGACAGAGAAGCCCAGCAAGGGGTCAGAAGGATTTCTGCACTTGGATTCGTGCCGCCGTTCCTCTACCGTTTCGTCTCTCTTTCATCGGCTTCCTGGCCCTCCCTGCCGCCCACCTTTTTTGCGCATCCATCGCTTTTCTCTCCTCGCCCGTTGATCCCCGGATAAACAAAGCAGAGATAGAGAGAGAGAGTGCGCGGGCGGGCTGCTCTAAGTATCGAGAACGCGCGGCTCTTCGGTATTTTGCGAGGCAAAGCTCGTCGACTTTTTCCTCGTTTTCTTTTTTTCTTTCTTTTCCTTTCATTTTTTTTTTTCTTTTTGTACCCACTTTTCGTTCGGTTAGCTCGCTGCTGCTCCGTCTTTTCACGATACGGCCCAGCCGCCGCGAATACGCGGGCATCGGCGCTGCTCTACACCCCACCACGGACGTATTCAAGATCAGTCGTGATTTCCGGGATTACCTTGGATATACACCGGGGGAATTTCGAGGTTTCGCCGTCGATGTTTCCGGAGCAATGGAATAATTCGAGCTTGGACGATCGGAGATTTACACTACGCCCAGTGAAGGCTCTCTGGGCTCGTTTTTTTTTTTTGGCGGATTACTTTTTGGAAGGGGGTGTTGATGCTTTTTAATGGCGGGAATGTGTTGGGTGTAATAATTATTCGGGCTAAGCTCGTTTTTTCCTCGCTTTTTTTTTAAATGTACAGGGTTACTTGAATTCAGTGTACTATTCCGGCTGGTGAAATGGTTTGGGGGATGGAGAACAACGTGGACGGGGCATGGTTTACGTAGATACTGTAATCGTTGATCCGATGAACCTTTTGGAAAGAAAATATTCGTAGAATATCTTATGAATACCCACTGCATTATTTATTAACCGTTAATTCATACGATTGATTGATCTTCGAAATGGAAGGAAAGGTGGCCGAGCATTGAATGTAATCTTCCTTGCTTCGTTATGAATATTAAATTTAATGAAAAATAGGAAATTACAGATTTCTGATATTTTGCGTAGTACAAATTCTTATGCATGGTGGTATACTTGAAACGATAGAGTGAAATCGAAAGTTTATTGTCCCTACACAAGCTCCAAGATAAAGGAACCAGACTGGAAATCAAATTACCGTCGAAACTTTTATAATCAGGACCCTCGCATCTGAAAAAAAAAGTCAACGGACAGAATGAGGAATCGAGACGTTCGAAAATCGGAATTCAGGAACCCAATGCCCAGCATCCCAGGAATATTCGACCGATAAAAACCCTAAAATTCATCGAAAGAAAAGCAGCACAGCAAACGGGGCGACACTGATAATCGCTGGCACACTCTTGTTTACCTAAGAAATCTGAAAACCCGCTAGCGGTGTTCCCTGATCATCCTCCATGTTTCTTTTCAACCGGTGTCACAAGCTCGCGGAAAAGCAGCGTCGAATAAAAAGCCTCACGGAATAGTACGTAGAAGAAGACTCGTCGTCGAAGCGACGATGAGAAAAAGTAGCGCTCGCTGAATCGAGGAAAAGAAGAGAAAGAAGGCGTAGGAAGTCGCGGCGAGGGAGGCGAGAGAGACAGAGAAGAAAAGAAAAAAGAAAGCGCGGACCGGTCGCATTATTAGCACGTCGAATGCTCGGAAACTTTAGTTAGAAAAGCACATTCATATTTCAGGCTGAATGGCATTATGAGAGCGAAGGGACAGGGCCGCGTGAGCGCACGATAACGAGGTTGTCACGACGTTCCCGCCCAAGGAACAGGCACGAGAGGGAGGTGGAGAACCGAGGGACAACTGAGAGGGGAGAGAGAGAACCGGGAGCGTGTGCAACGGGGGCTTGAAAAAGGAAAGAGGAGAAGGAAAAAAAAAAGGACAACGACATCGACACGAACCACGACGACGACATCGACGGAGGCAGGAAAAACGACTGGTAGGGAGACTTCTTCGAGATCCTTGGCTGGTTCGCCCACCCTTCACCTCCCCCAGGCACAGGGACGCGCACTAGTGAAAGGAACAACTCGCCGTGGAGGAAGAGGATTGAAAAGTGCCGCGACTGAAAGCCCGATTATTTTCCGCTCCTTGTCGTTCCCGCCTAATCAGCGAATTAAAGCAAGCCTGCGGGGGCCACCATCTGTCTTCTCCTATGGCTCGTCGTCTTCTTCTTCTTCTCTCTGGTGAACACCGACCGGCTACGCGACCCGTCCTCATCCTTACTCCGTCTGTCCTCGAGGGGAGGAAGTCGATTGTGTCGGTTTCCACGGCCACCGAGACGGATCGACTCCGGAGGAAACAGGGGACTCAGAGATTCTTCGGTGATAAGTCGCGTTGGATGACCATTGTGACAACCGTACCTCCACTATGATTTCCTTTTCGAACCCCCCTGGGACGGGTTTGTTCCGTTAGGTTCGACCTGAGGATCTGTGGATTGGCAGAATCGATGATCGGTGGTGAGTTTTTTTTTTGGAACGATTTCAGGGTGGTTGAAATATCCAGTTCAGTGTTTTAGTGGTCTCCATTGGTTGTAGAGGTTGGGCCTGTGAATCTTAGTTTGTACAGTGTAGGTTTGAAAGTGTTAACTTGTAGAGGTGGTTCTTTTCTTGTACTACAAATGCAAGAGAAGTCATTTCTGGAATGGATGTATTACCGAAAACTGAAATAAATACCGGTATTTTTTCGGTTTCTATAAGAGTAGGGTTATATACAGCGAAGGTTTAACCGAAAATACTTTTATCAAGCCTTTGTTGACTAATATTTTTCTTTTTCTTTAATTATCAAGCCTAGCCCCATACTTTTGGTCGGTAGTGTACACCCCCGCTTCAAAATACTCAGGTGCGAAGCACGCACGATTTACGAACCCTCTGCGAGCCTTCGAACCTTCCGTCCACGAACAATGTTTTCCTAAAAATCGCAATAAAATAATCCTGTTAACGGCCTCGCGCGAAATTTCCAGAAAAGCTCCAGCATCAAAGCACGAGCAGCGAGAACTGGCTGCCCATTATGCCCCTTACGTTGAAACATCTCGGGCGTGTACGAGGGCCGTAGGACGCGTGTGTGCGTTTATTCATCGTCGTGGCCAGCGGCTGGTGAATTAACACGGTTAAACGTCTGCAAGAAATTGCGGGGCGGCCGTGAATTTTCTGCTGGCACAGGGGTATAGAGAGGGAGAGGCGGGGTCCGTCTAATTCGCGAGTCGGGGCTTAACGGCTCGTGGGAGTTTTCACGCGATAGCCAGGGCTACTCGTGTTTAATGTAAATTCGCAAATTGAAGGGGCCAGGGTAATCAACTAACCGCCAACGAGTAACTCCGGTAAACTCATTGAAATAGTTCATAACTTCGCCTCCCCGCTAGTTTTGGAGTTTCGCCGAAGGTAGGGGTTGGGGGGAGGGGTGGGGGCAACTTCCGCGGAATTTCCCACATCATACCGACCGACCGACTGGCCCCGGCATTGTTACGACGCTACCATACCCGACAACTTCGCCAGTGCGCGCCGTTTTCGGCCGCAGTTCGACGATACATCAGCGAAATCTCGGGGAAAGTGTACCTATCCGACTGGTGGCAAGCTTCGATCGATCGCCGGCTTCTATCCTCCATGTTCCACGGCCCTGTTAACCCTCTCCGCGCGAAGATTGTTGAACTGGTCACTCACCTGTCGTCGCGGTACAGTAAAACCTGGATTAGTACTCGAAAATTGGGACTGGAGCCCGGGCAGTTACGAAGTAGAGGAATCGATACCAAATATAGAATCAACACTGAACGTGGAGAAGGACAGTTAGTGAAAAAGAAAGAGGGACTGAGCATCGGAACGATGACAAAGTTTAGATACTTCTGCCTGTCAATGATGGAAGGGTAATGCTACCATGAACATTTTTTATTTTTAGTTTTATTTGAATAAAACTTTGACTGACGTGTTTGTGGGATTTTTCTGATTAAAATGATACCAAACACGGTATAATTTGGATCATTTGTGACATTTAATCAATGTCAGTAAGTAAATAGAATTTAAATTATGTTGTTTTTGGTCTTGTTTAAAAAAAGTTTTTATCTTGAATTTGTACTTTTGTTTATTCATATAATAACGAATAATAATTGAGTTATGTGATATATAATAATATAGATATTAAACGTTTATTATAAAATAAAAAATATTTCAAACAAGAATAATGGAAAAAATTGAGTGGGCACAGTCAAGAGAAACTATACATTCCGTATCTTACTATCAGAGGGTTCAAAAATGCAGTAGTTTCATCTTAAAAACAAAGTATAGCATCCATATTGTCGAGAAAATACAAAGGAAACTCTAACTAACGAAAGTTGTATACGCATAAATATAAATAGTTCAACTTTGATCGAACACAATTTTTCTGTAAAGTTCAAGGAAAGTCCCACTTTTGTGGAGACACCTAGTATATGCGGATCAGTATTGTTTTTTTACTTCAACAATGTATACGATTAATGACATCGGTTCTGACTTACTCGAGCAAATCCTCGTGGTCGCCATATCTCGTGCAAGAAACACACGAATATAGAACGGGTTCGTTCAACCAGCTGGAGAAAGGATTGAAACGCTCTCCGGACTGTATTAAGATCCTCGTGGCGCGATTAAAGGATATCAGTCAGCATCGTTTATTGGGCCAACACAGAGAGAAAGAAGCTGCCGAATGGATGGGCGCGGAGAGATCGGTTGCCAGGAGTTGTTGCCTGGCCTCGGGTGGCCCGAAGCCAATCGAATCGATTCGCGATCCCGTCGCGGGATTCTTGGCACGGATCCAACGGACTACCCGTAAACGGTCGGCCCGTTTCGAGCGACCGTGTAAATGAATAAAACCTCGTAGTCTGGATAAAGAAACGGAAAACAAGAGCACCGGGACCCGTTCAGGCATCGCGAATCAACCGACGGGAAAACAAACGAGCCCGAGCGGTGTTACGCGGATAAAATCCGGGGAACGTTCAGGAGACCATTCAAGTGGAACCGTTTCTTTCTTACCCTCTCGCAGAGATGGACGGTGAACCTGTCGAGGGAAAAAAAGTTTTATGGGAATCGTAACGTGAACGGCGTCAGAAAACAACGGATGCCATTTTTCACTGCTAAATGGGTTACTTTTATTTTTATTAGACACGACGGTAAAATATAAAAGTTAATGAAGAACTGTTAGTAGTTCTTGGCGTTAATCTTTGTTGGTAACGAAGGAGGTAAGGTAGATTCGAAGACCACAGACTGGGTAAAGAAGTGTGAATAGAGGGGGAGTGTTCAACAGAAATGGAGTAAGCTGATGTTAAGTCTGACCCTGATCGTGGATTAAATTATTTATTTTCAAATAGATATTATAGACCCAATGTAGACATTACTAACCAATATAGACATTTCAGACAACAATATCTATAACCACACGGCTCTGGTAGATCCTTATTGAGGCTCCCATATACTTATACTTTTTTTATAAACTTGACACATACTACATACACCTATGTAATATGATGTTTTTCAAAGTTTGCTGACTTTATTACGCAGTGTGATATATACTACGCAGATTCTAAGCGCAACTCAATATTTAATACCGTTAAAATAGAAGATAGGAGTCGAATATTTCTGATAGGCGATACATGGCTCCTATCCTGACAAGCTTTGGCCACCACTGATCTATAACATAATAGTAACAACCCAAGTCCTTCGTTCTTCAATCAACATCGAACCCAAAACATTCATCTTAGTCTGCCTTCAATCCGAACATTCTACTTCCCCCAGTCGTCGCTCTAAAACCCACTACATCCACAGACACCTTCTGGCATCGACACCCCCCGAAGTACGCCACATCCTGATGCACAATAACAGCGCCCATGTCCGCAAAAAAAAAAACCCGTCTATCAATAACTCGATCCATCAGAATATTAGTACGAGTATCCTCCGGTTTCCTGGACTCCTCCAGTCTGTTTGGTGGTCCAAGTGAAGTGTCCCAGACGGCATTAAGGAAACCGAGAGCAGAGACTCGGCTATCTCATCAGATTAAAAAGTTTCAGAAACGTAAATAAATGGGCTGCGGTGCACAATGAGAGGACGCTCCGGGAGGATGGCAGGAAGGGGGAAGGGACAAGGAGAAGAAGTTAGGCGATGGAGGAAGATGAATAAAGAGAGACGAGGACCAGGCTCTATAGATGGAATCCGGGGCGGTGGTGGTTAGAGTAACAGTGGCAGCAACAATGGTGGTAGAAGCAGCACCAGCGACAGGCGGCAAGCAACAACGATGCCAAACAGCGGGGGATTGGCCGTCGGCTGTGGGTTTGCGGATCCGCTCTTAGTATATTGGAACGAGCCTCTCTTCAGCATCCATACCGTGTTCCCTGTCGTCGTCGTCCCTTCCGCCTTGCCTTACCATTCGCTCCCCCTCGTCTCCCCTCCCTTTCTATCTGTTCCCCACTCTCCTTTCGCCTCTACCCGCGACTTCACGGGGTCCTCTGGACAGGGCCAAACTCATGCCTCTGCTTTCGGATTCCCCCGTCCCCTCGGCTCTACCCCGGTGGATCTTTTTTGTTGGTCCTCTTCTTGCGTCGCTTTTCGTATTTCATTATGAGCCCGTGTCGTCTTTTTCTCTTCTTGACTTCTCTCTCCTCCCCCCTCACCCGGCATCCCCACTCCTCTCGCCTTTTTCGTCGGCGCGCTGTTTTTTGCGCACGCCTTTTATTGCCTTTTCGTTTTATACCCACCAGTTATTTTGCCCTTAGTTACCGTTCTTTCTTCGAGCTTGCGGTGTCTGTTCTGGGCTTCTTCGGCTCCCTACGGTTCGCGGTGTATTGTCTTCGGTTTCTGCGTTTTCTTTTTGCTTCTTTTTTTTTTTTATTTTCTTTTAGGAAGGTGTTACGTTAGGTTTTCTTTTTTTTAAATAGCGTTCAGGAATTCTTGTCACTATTTTTCAGTGTAGTCAGCTGTTTATTGCAACAATTGGTACGAGGTTTTGATTATTTTGTATCGTATCTCGATTTTTATTTGACTCGGCAGAATCTCCATTTCACCACTTTTTTTCTCTATTTTTACAACCTTATGCACCAATTGCTTTCAAACCTTCCGTATTCTGCAAAGAATCTTCTACAGAAAATCTACAATTTTCTTCGTTCCCTCTACTACCTTACAATTTTTCTCAGACCCTCTCTATCAATCTACTATTTTATACATACATCACTTCGA